CTGAAAAATTCGATAAGCTACTCCAGAAAGGGAAGGTGGGCTGAAATGAGTTGATTCAGACGTACCCTCTCCTGTCAGGTGTATACCTTCTCCAAAGGCAATGTCAAGGTGGCTAACAAGAGGTATAGCTCTTGCAACCACAATTACGAGATCGTGTTCGAAGAAGATTCACAGATAGTTGAGGTGCAGGATGATGTTGAAGACCATATTGATAAGATAAAGTGAGATGAAGGCATAACTTGGCGCATTCGAACGTAACTTTCTTAGGTATAGCTTTTGCCCCGTCAGAGAGCTCAAATCTAAGTCCGTGCCGAGTACAGTCGATCTACTAGTTGTTATCAAGGATCACAGGTGACTATGGTGTCTTGTGGTCTGAGTCGAATACGTCACTTGTGGCTATTGAAGCCTCGTCGATGTCATCCCTATCAGGCCCGCGGGAACTGTCAACTCTAAGAACGGAGCTGAACTATTTCGTCGCAATTTAACGGTTTGTGACGAGTCAGGCTGCTGTGTTGATGTTACTTTCTGGAATGACTTGGTAAGTTCATATTCGAGCGACCGCCTGTTGCATATGCTTCAGGTCAACGTCGTGGACGAATCGGTGCTGCAAACGCAGCCAGTTGTCGCCATGAAGGGTGTTAGCGTCCGGGATTACGGCGGTAGTGGAAATGTTGTCTTTGTGATTTCTATAACTCCTATTCAGGACGAAGTTGTTCGACTTTGAACTCGACTCAGATCGAAGTCAATCCGGACATTCCTGAGGCTAAACAATTGAAGGTAGTGCCATTCACTTCCCTTCATCATCAGTCGCGGATTAACTACTGACATCTGTATACACTGCTACTCTCAGATTTGGTGGGCCAATACTGGATGCTCGATGGCCTTCACCAACTTGTCACAACAGGGGACGTCGGTCCCTGGAAGTGGTGGTCAGGCTATGGTTACTAAGGAGATGGTAGCAGATAGGGTCTACAGTGTTGATGAGAAGGTTTTCATCTCAGACAATTGCAGAGATGAAGAATGATGTTAAAAACATGGACTTGGGCGGATTGATGCACTCGTATGAGATCATCGGTAGACTGCAATTTGTTACTACCCGAGGAAGGGATGGCAATGATGTAAGTCATTTTTGTGGATAAGCGTGTATAACCGGATCCTTCTGGTTAGATCCCTATCTTCTACATGGCGTGCGAAAGTTGTAATCGTAAGATGGCTGAAGGTAGCGACGGTTTCTGTCAGGCATGCAATAGACAGGTGAGAACTAGGAATCTCAGGCCCTGTTTGTCAGCTCTGAAGATGGTCTTTACGAAGTTTTAGAGGGTACCAACTGTTCGTGTTAATCGAATGAATCATGCGTGGATCTCTTCAATGACTGCATGTTGGCCCGAATCAGTACAAAGATCAAGTCGTGTAGGTAAATGTCAAGGCAAGATACATGCTACGCTCCCAGTTCGTCGACAGCACAGACGACGCATATCTTACATGCTTCCATGACCAGGGTAGCCCGCTAAAATTAACTATGGAACGGTGCAATG